AACAGGGAGAAACAAGTTTCCTTCAAGACAGGAGAGAATGCAACTATGTTTCTGTCTCCTGTGTACATTAAGTCTGGTATAATCAAAACAATAGAAGCCCCAGGAAGCCCACAAGAAAGGGGAAAAACAGCAGGAGGTCATCCTGCCTCTTGAAACAAGGTAATTGAAATTTGGAAGATATAAGCAAGGACAGAACCAATCTTTGGCATCCATCACTAGACAGACACAAGGAAACAGAGCTGTTGCATGCCAAGAAAGAGGGGTCCTTCAATCAAGGGGGTGGGTGGGCTGAAATATCTGGAAACTGAACATAGGTGCAAACATCTTTCACCTAAGGAGACAAGGGAAGCCAGCATCTTGCACTTCTGGGGAAAGTTCTGACCAAGGGAAAATTAGCCTTGGCTGGGAAGAAGGAAGGTTGGTGAGAGAAACCATCTTGAACAGAGCCTCTACCTTGCTAGATTAAGTAATAGACTTTTAGATGCGTGTTTTCACTTTTATTTGCTTGTAACCATTTCTAATTTCATTCCTTTTACTTGGCATCACTTAATCTATTGTTATGTCCTGTTGTTAATGCATTTGTTTTATTTATAAACCAACTCAGTGCTGTGTTTGTAAGGAAGGGTGTATTTGCCCCAGTAAAGTTAATAAGCTATGATGTACTTTTGTCTCTTTAAAGGAATACAGGAACCTTATTATGTCTCTGAGTTGTCTAGGAGAGGGCTGGACGCTGCAGAGCACATGGTCTGGGAAAATTCAGGACTGGAAGTGTGTTGGGGTCCCCTTGCTGATTGTAACCAAGGTGGAAACCAGAGTGGGGCTGTAGACAGGCTGCTGGGTCAGAGCTGCTGAACCAGAGTTGTCTAGCACACACACACTCAGGGTGTGTCTTGCAGGCTGGCTGTAAGCATCCCAGGCTGGGAGCTAAAGCTGCAAAGCACTGTAATGCACCCAGGGTTGCAGGGCAAGTGGTGACACAACCTCTTACTGCTCTGGATTGCACCCCAAGCGCCATGACAGGCTCCCATTGCCATACTGTGAGATATTACAAACATTAATGAATTTATCCTTACACCATGCCTCTGAGGTGTGTAGGGGGGTATTGTCCCCATTTTATAGATGGGGAAATGAGGCACTGAAAGATCGTTGATTTATCCAAAGTCACAAGAAATCTGTTGTAGAGACAGGGGTTCCTAGTCCAGTGCCTTTAATGGAGACAATCTTTTCTCCAAGGTATGTTTGTCTGCTTAGTTTCACAAAGCTAGCTCTTGTATTTGTGATAACGTTCTTGGACCATGATAGCTTTATTATAATCATTATTCTGAAAGGTAACATACTTGTGTTGTGTTATATATTTATTATGGGTAATGTAACAGATATATGGAGGAAAAAATTTGTCAAGCCTTTCTGCCAGAGTACCCACCCGATCCTGAGTGCAGCATGGCTATATTACAGGTTCACACACACCGGTCATGCTCTTTCTCCCAAGTCCTGTCTTCATGTCCTTAGGGGGATTATTTTTTTTTCAAGTGGGAAGACTGTGGGTTAATACCTTTATCCCTCAAAAATCTAACTGGGTAACTGACTCAGATGGTCATAATCAAAAACCTTTAGTATTATCAAGCTAGCAACCTTCACTGATGGCAAGCATTCTCTAGATCTGAATCTATAGTAAGGCCTGGTCTACACTACGACTTTAATTCGGATTTAGCTGCGTTAATCCGAATTAATCCTTAACCCGTCCACACAACGGAGCCAGTTACTTCGAATTAAAGGGCACTTAAAATCGATTTCTGTACTCCACCCCGACGAGCGGAGTAGCACCAAAATCGATTTTGTTAATTCGAATTAGGGGTAGTGTGGCCGCACACCACCGAATTAATGTGGTTAAAATTAATGGGGTAGTGTGGCCGCACACCACCGAATTAATGTGGTTAAAAACCAAATTAATGTGCTTAGTGTGGCCGCGCACAATCGAATTTATACAATCTGTTTCCCAAATTCGAATTATCTAAATTCGAATTAATCTCGTAGTGTAGACGTACCCTAAGTATCTGGGAATAATTTAAAAAAAATTCCTGGGAAGCTCTAGAGAGTAGGCAAGGGCATCTCCCATGCAGAATGGGAAGGGGAGACTGTACTTCTGTCAGGTTTGGTTTTAAGAGAACAGGATTCTTTTATTTTCAGTATTTAAAAAGAAGTGGTGGTCAGTGAGAAAACCATACTAACTCTGATTTGTTCTTTGAAATACCTTTTAGAATCATGTGCAATGGTCTATGAGCTTCTTTGGCATACATGATCATCATGTGATTTGATCAAATTACATAATGGTATGTGAGCTGGCCATATTTTGCTATTGAACATTTGTCAAGTATGTACATATTGACTGACTGTGCCAAGCTCCATAAAGCAGTGTATCATTTTAGATTTCTTTAAAGTGCTCTCAGATTAGTGAAAAGGAAACATAAATAGCACAATATGTGTTTCTAATAAACACCAGGTCAGAAGAGCTGTATTTTCTAAACCCATACAAGACTGTATGCAGAAATCACAAAGGGTGACATTCATGCCTGTAAGAGTACTGGCACAAGGCCTCTGTACCACTTAAATCCCACTTACACCCGGTATGCATGGGTGAGTTTCACTCACAGAGTATTAAAAAAGGACAAAAACATGGTTCAACCAAACAGCTGGGTGGAATTCCAGGGCATACTGAAAACAATGGTTGTGGAGCATTTGACCAGCTCTAAATAGAACTATGGTCTCCTGATTCCCAGTCCTGTGGCTGAACTACAAGATTTTTCTCCTTTCCACTGGTACAAACTTAGCAACTGCTTAAACTGTGTTTAGCGGGTTTGGTATTGCCTAAGATTGGGTTTTTACCTTAAACATTTACTTTAAGATTTGTGTAAAACCTGGATTTCATGGTTTAAAATGAAATAATAATAATAAAAAAGCCTGCCAGGGAACTTGAGAAGAGTTGGCCTAAATACAAAGGGATGAGGGGCCTCGTTAAGTGTCTGCTGAGTTAGTAAATATTGCCTTACCTGCGTCAGAGGCAGCGGGTCTATTTCACTAAATGAAAAGCATATGATGGTGCCTGGAATAAATCTTGGAGACTAAAGAGGGTTAAAAATTAGTTGCTCCATTTTCTGGGCGAGATTGTGGCTGTTCCTGGACAGTAGCACAAAGGGCTAGTGAGGGCATAGGGAGATCTTTGGGCCCCTGCTCAGAAGGCAGCCAGAAGGTTTGGCACCTAAACTTGCTGGGTAAAATGCATCCCTGCACAGAAGGCCAGCACAGGCCAATGCACCACATGAGTCCCACTCAGAGTAGGGCTTGTGTGGGACTGAAGTGCTGAACCTCTGAACAAGAGAGTGGAAATGGGCTAACCCAGCCTGAGGTACTGCACATCTTCAAGGGGGAATGGCTGGACCTTTTTCTACCCACTGGTGCTTGGATACTGGTTGGAGTAGGCAGAGTACATACCACTCAGGTGCATATTCTTCTAGCACAGTGCATGCTAGTGTGTCTGACTTGGTGTGCCACAGTAGAATAGAGTTTGGTACAGAACCTATTCCGACAGAATCACAATCTACTCCTCTTGTATTTCAGTTGGCCATGCTAATCTTCTGCAAATACTAGCTCAAGCAGTTGGGCTTAGCAGCATTTCCTGGCTCTGCTGCTGAAGGGGTGAAGTGGTTTGGTTGACTGCTTACTCCCAGAAATGTGTCCTCATAGTGGTGGGAAGACAGTGGCCATCTCTCCTGAACAGCCCCCTTAAAGATACCACATATGCAGACTCATGGATTCTACTGCATTATTGTTTTTTCAATCATCCTGATAAATGATGATAAAAGTGCATTTAAAATTATTTTGCAATTATATTTGTTTCATGCTGGACCCAGATATAAAGAGTTGCCGATGCCTCATGGAAATATCAAATCGTTTTATTGAGAACCTATTCAGCTTACAGTGTGTATGTCACTTAGTTTTAATATTACTCTCCCCCTTGTTCGTTATGACTTGAGAACATTTGTCCATGAATGTATTTTGTTTCTTAAGGTTTCATTGGCCCCCGCTGGTTACTCCCCATCACAGTCTGTGGCTATGTGGAAAAGATTTTGATTCCACAGGAGAAAGGAGTCCAAATTCATCCTTGGTGTAACTCTACGGCACTCAGTCAACCTACATGAGGAATGAGCTGGGACATAATTTGTGTCTCTGGGACACAAAGCAAGCAGCAGGAGTGAATTATCCCTTCAGAAACACAAATCATATTTTTATTACATGGGTTAAGCCCTATGGCCAGAAGCTCCAGAGGGAAAAGAACTTTCTACTCACTCTGTTGGTGAAAAGGAAAAAGTGCTGCCATATCAAACTTCATTTGCATAGGTTACCTACCCACAGTTCCTCTGGCGACACTTGAGAGGTCACTATGACTATATATGAACTTGGATTTTTATGGGTGGTGGGCTCCCAGCGAGGTTGAAAGACCGCAAACAGCTCTTATCTTCAAGCATCCAGGACTTTGCTCAAGGTTCCTGGCTGTTCTTGGTTCCCCTCCCGTGGGGACTTTATAGGGAGAGACAACACAGATGACAGCATCAAAGCTCATTGGACTTTGGTGAGGCCTCACTGGTGGGTGGGAAGGGAGTTACCGAAAGGGGAGAGTGATACTGAATCTGTCTTCACATAGATATGCTGTTGCTACGTTTCCCCAAGTTTAGACTATATTCCCTTTCCCTGAATAAAGCTTCTCTTGTTTGTACAGTCTTGGAGTGCTTGTGAGTGGAGAAGTTCGGCCTGTTAAAGGTGCCCAGGGAGGGAGTATTCAGTTTTTCCCTTTTTGCTGCCACTAAGCTCCTGGCAGAAGTGTTCCATAGGCTGTAGCCTCTTTAACACTGTTTCTTGAAGGATGCATTACGGTTCCTTTCCTGGTGTTAATGCCTCAAAAGCCCTTCATTACCCATTATTTATCTCCCCTTGTCTGATTCCAGGTCTTTCCCTGTCCTCTCCACTTCTCCAGTGCTGCCTGGCTTCGCAAACCAACATTTCTGTGCCTTCTTCTATGTTGTCCTTTACACATGCAAGGAACCATAATGAGTAAGGGATCATGCCTTCTTTTCTATCTGGGAAATGCTAAATCACTGTGGATGCTGCTAGAAATAAGTAAGTGTGACAATCATCTATCAAGGTTGTATTACAGTTGTTTGCATGAGGTCTGTATGATGACATTTAAGCATTTTAATACTATGTTTTGCAGTTGACTGGAGATGTTTTTCTTTCATCTGCTCTGGCTCATCGTAGGCTTATATAGCAAAGAAAAAGTATCACACCATAGAACAGAATAGTGTTGAAAGAGTTCTATAAGTGTGCAAAAATCCCTTTTGGTTTACACACTGCAAGAAATGTATAGCCAAATATTGTTCCCCTGCTTTGTTCATGTTTGAAGGCCTCATACAGGCACTGTTCACATTTGACAGAACTCTGCACCGTATCGGTTTGCCCAGAATATGTCTATTGTTCAGTGTGATGGCTGCCAGAAAGCCGATGCCGCATGCAGGGCACACAGAGAAGCTGTGGGGAGAAAATAAAACTAACAAAAATGTTGGCATACATGCAACTTTGCCAGCTTGGCCCTGGCTCTTTGTACTGGAACAGCAGAATCTCAAATACTAGGAATACAAGAAGACAACTCGTACCTTACAGTTACTATCCAGCTACAATCCATAGCTGTCCAATTCAAAAATGAATGTAAGTCCCTTTCAAAATGGCATATAAACCTGTGAGATATTCATGAAAAAAATAAATCCCTGCTGAGGCCACATTGGTCACATGTTCCAAAAACAGATTCTGGGATTATATTGTGCTCTGTAGTTATTCATCTCTTCTATCAGCATTATTTCAACATACGCAATTATTGCCATCTGGTGCCATGCTAAGCTGATAGCCTCTCTTCTTCATCTCTAGGGTCTTGCTTTGAGTTCCTTTCTGGCTAACATTCTGGAATTAGTTCAGTGCCTTTATAGTAGCAAGAGGCAGTGTGGTAAACACAGCACTGGAGTCAAATTAACAGCAACACTACTTGAGCCAATGTGATGATGTCTTTCTTTGTAATCTTCCAGAGAAAACCTTTTCTACCTTGTTTCTAAGTCTCTGGGGTTCTGAGGTCACTGGATTCTCTGCCTGCTTCTAGCTCACACGTTCTCTTTCTTTACTTCCAAATGCCTCTATTCATCCCTTGTCTCTTTCTCTGAATCCTGCTTCATAACTGTAGTTTGCTTTATGCTACTTTTTTTTTGTGATATGTCAGTGGCCTAAAACCTGCAGCTTCTTTGCAAAGTTTTACTTAAAATAAAAAGTTTTAGAATTCTAGAATTTAAACTGGTAGGACAACTCCTGGTAGTAAATATTGCATTTATTTGTATTTTCAGGATTGGGTCTTTAAACTTGCTAGAACAGTAAAGAAGTGTCTGTCTTTAGCAAGTGACCAGTAATGATGAGTGGAGATGTGAATCAAACCTGATTTACCACGCTCCTCCTCCTTCTAAAACTCTGCTCACATGTGACCAGTGACAGTGCTGAGTATATGGACTTGTAACTACGTGTTGTTAGCATGGTTGAGTCAAAGCAGAGTAATTGTTTCATAATTAAATGCACCATACCGCTGAGGCTGCTTAAATGCAGCTGCCTTTGCTGTGGCCCAGTCAATGCAGGCGCTGGAAATGTCAGTCCTATCGGCTGTGGTGACTGCTGCCCAGCAGCTCATCTCAGCACCTGGACACGCACTGCAGTCTCCTGGAGACAACGGTACCATCCAAACATTTTATTTTAGTTTGAATTATATGTTTAACTTTGGACAAAGGTATCAACTGTTGGCTTCAACTGGAGCCTTAATTACTCACCTTTCCTCAGCTTTATGGATTTACACTAATGTGAACTGAATGTGCTGGCTAGGTCCCATGTGAAAGTACCTCCATTGGTATTTATGAGGCACTAAGTTTTGAAGTGGGAGTGTGTACTGCTGTAGTCTAGAATGCCAAGAGAAAAGTCTTTACTTTAAGAGTTCACTAAGGCCTCAAAGCTTTCTGTTGTCAATTATTCATCATCTTGTGCAGTGGGAGCACACATCAGAGATTGGAAAACTAGGATTTTGAGGGATAAAAAGGCTAGAAATAGAGTTTGAGGACTGATGATAGCATGGTGTGGTATAAAGGGATGACCTGCCAGCTCACTCGTGGCTTCCCCACTCAAAGTATTGCAGACATAAACCCTTGTACCATACTATCATGTATTCCATATAGATACAGCAGGCTAGCTCCTCAGCTGGTAAAAAATTAGCATAGTTCCCCTGACTTCAGACTGAATGATGACATTTGAAGTCAATGGAGCTACGCCGATTTACCCATCTGTAGAAGTGGGTTGTAGCCCACGAAAGCTTATGCTCTAATAAATTTGTTAGTCTCTAAGGTGCCACAAGTACTCCTGTTCTTTTTGCGGATACAGACTAACACGGCTGCTACTCTGAAAAATGCCATCTGTAGCTGAGTGCAGAAGCTGACCCCTTATTTTTTCAGTTTTCCTTTAAAACATTCTGTATATAAAAGGGTTAAGTATGTTAGATATTTTCTGATGCGATGAAGCAATTTTTGCAAATATAACTTCAAACAAATCAAAATGAAAAATTGTGTCAAAGCACAGTGCAGCATATGACACAAAAGTTTACATGGGGGGGGGAGTGGGGGGAAATAACAACTGAACTTAACTTTACTTCCTTCCTCCTGTGCTCATGTCTCCAAAAAACAAGACATAAACTTGTCCACTGATCTTTGAAAAGAAGCATGAAGATGTTTAAAGTCCTGTCAGTGACCAGAAGCTGAGAAGCTAGCTACTCCTTACTTACATATTTGCTAAATCAAGTGTATATTTAAATCACAGCATGAAAAGTGATTTTTAGCTGGAATCCTTCCAGACAGGACATGGAATAAACAAGTGAGAAACTGGGAAAAGGAAGTACATTTTGTCAGTATTTTCTCTCTCTTCCTCTTGGTTTCATTTATTACCTACCACTATGGGATCACAAAGGAGAGAAAGTATCAGGGCGTAGCTGTGTTAGTCTGTATCTACAAAAACAACAAGGAGTCTGGTGGCACCTTAAAGACTAACAGATTTATTTGGGCATAAGCTTTCGTGGGTAAAAACCTCACTTCTTCAGATGCATAGAGTGAAAGTTACAGA